GACCGGAAGTCAATGGAAAAGCGAAAGTACCGAAAGTACCGTACTTTGTGCGGTGGAAAAGCGCCCTTAGAAGATTTCAGCGTCTTCACCATTTACTGTAGTTTATGGACACTTTCACCAACAGGGACAAAAGCAACTTATACTCAGCATTATGAACCTCAGACAGGAGAGGAAGGCACACCAACACCGTACCGCGGAAAGGCTGTCGGATTAGCTTACCTGGTTCAAAGGTGCTCGAGGATGTGGGCAGGGTCTGCAGCGACCGACTGACCGTCGACTTCATGTCGGAGTTCAGTAACCGCGGTGACGACCCCAACCAGCTTGGCTCCTCCCAGCTCCTCTTACCTGATTGGTCCATCTTGGTTGGGCTGGTGGGAGCACTTATAGCTCGGTCGTACATCTATTTGAGGGGGGACAAATGAAAATAAGAAACATCCAACCTCCATGACGATTGCGCTGCCCTGCCTCGCGAGCCACTCCGACTCACCCTTTTGACGGCCAGCGTGGCGATGCCCAGCATAGCTGCCCCCCCGACTCCCAGCACCAGCTTGGCGTTGGACAGCACAAAGTCGATGGCGCCGCCAATCCCATTGTCGTCTTTTTTCCCCTTCTGATCGCCACCGACCCCAGCCATTCTGTCTGCTAGATGAGGTGGTTGGAGAGACCATTAATTCACACTGCAAATGATTAGTATTACTGTCGCAAAAGTGCAGATTATCATCTAAGTTTAGCGTTTCAATTGTGTGAACCACAAAATCAGCAAATACACAGAGCTGAAGCCCCTGTGCACCACCTTCACTTTTCCTGGGATGCTAGTGGTTCATTGCGATTTGGTTTCAGCATGAGAAGCATGGACCCATTAAATAAAAGCAAACTTCTGAGCAAAGCCTAAGCTTAGAGTCAGGGGACAAGGTCAGTGTCCTTGGAGGAATATAGGTTAAGGGTCTTGCTCAAGGGCCCAAAACAGATCTGATTATTCTGCCAACCAACAGATCTGAGCCTATAACATTCCGGTCACAGCCCCCACCTTCAGTAACCCACTAAGCTATACACTGTCCTCCCCCTAGCTTCTCTAACCCATTGAGCTACACACACCTGTTGCTAGTCCAACACTGGATGTCTGGAACAGCCCGGTCTAGGAGGTGTGTGGTTCTCCCAATGACACTAGACCAGGCCTCCCAGGCGACTGCTGAGGAAGAACTGGCCCCTCTTCAGTGCCTCCTCTCTGTCCTGCGGCGTGGACAGGGCCTGGCAGCGGCGGAACTCGCGGGACACGGCACGCTGGTAGTAGTTGCGGTCCGTGTACTGAAGGTGGCGTCCCGCCCGGAGCAGCGCTCTGTACAGCTCCAACACCGCAGTTCGCGACCAGCCGCCCATCAGGCACCATGCGCAGAGGGACACTCAGTCAGCTGTAACTGTGCAGAAAGACAGGGATCACGAGTCCAATATATGGATACACTCCAGTAAACCATGCACATGAAGAAGACACAAGAGCTGGTAATAACACACGTCAATTTAACACATACTTGATAGATGAAAGCTACAATTTAACTAACCTATAACCTACTTCATAAATACGTAGGTGAATATTTTTCAATTTCGTTAGACGTCTTAGACAAGATGGTTACAGACACTCAGCAGATACTACACGTGATGCCCTCCGCTTAACTACAAAGCAAAAATCTTAAGCATACCAAAAAGTAAGAAGGCAAGACATATTTTATTTACAACTAATGTAAGCGCTTCAACATTAATACGGAGAAACAGTAAAATCATAATACCAGCCAGATTCGGAGCAAGGGTTTTTATATGTTAACTGACGGCGACTGATACTACAGTAAGCCTTCAACCAAATTAAAAAAAAATTATGTTGCACTTAAAAACCAAAAAAGGGTATCCCACGAACCAGCACTTTAAATTAAAAAGAACGGAAATGTGAAATAGCTTGTTCATTGACCTTAAGTAAAATCACACAACTGTATAAACAAACACACAGAGACAAGAGAAATAAAAACACCACATGTATCTCCGGCAAGATTCACCAACTCACCTTTTGACTTAAAACAGAGTGAGAAAGGCTGTTTTAATCAAACAAAACAGCTTTCCCTAGTTTCATCGGTCAAGAGACTCGTACCGGAACACGATGGCTACCTAATGACCCCCCAATGAAATACTTCCGGGGTGCCGGGAATGGGGGGAAAAAAGATTATTTTAAATACCGTATTTCATTATATAGAGTTGAACACAGACACAAATGTTAAACTAACGGGATCGTATATTTCTATAAAAATGGCGACTGATCCTTTTTGGTAGAACCTCTATTATGAAACAAATAACTTTGAAATAACTCATTACCAGGGGTCAGCCTCATGGCGAATTATGATGGACATTTCGATCAAAATGCAATTTTTACACGGGCATGCTATTTAAAAACGTAACCTCAATCAAAACATTTGTCCGGGTACGGACCTGTTGACGATTGCTGCTCATTACTATTATTTTATTTTCATTTAAAACATATCGTCTCCCTTCTCTTTTAAAAAAGACATTATAATATTGTAAAATGCGTTATCTTCTTACCTCCTCATTTTTTAGGCAAATGACGCATAAAAAGTTCACTGCTTGTTTTAGATTGTCTATACCTGACGACTTCTAAGATTAATCTTTGTATTAATTGTGGTGTATCCCACTTTAAATAACTTTCCCAGATAGCATGGATAGTCGGGCCGATTCTGGCTGAGTGTCGGCACTGTCGGCTTACTGTCGATGCGGTAGGAGATGACGGTAGAGACAGTGCCGAGCCCGGCAGCCGATTCTGGCTCACACACGGCTTTGTTCATTTGGTCCAGCGGTGGCTGAGCACAGTTCCGCCGATCCTTTTTTATTTCATGGCAGTATGATATGATGCCGGGACAGTGCCGAGCCCGGCAGCCGATTCTGGCTCACACACGGCTTTGTTCATTTGGTCCAGCGGTGGCTGAGCACAGTTCCGCCGATCCTTTTTTATTTCATGGCAGTATGATATGATGCCGGGACAGTGCCGAGCCCGGCAGCCGATTCTGGCTGACCCACGACTCTGTTCATGTGGGCCGGCGTCGGCTCAACGAATCTAGTTTTGCTACATTTGCTCTTTTCTGAACAGTTGACAATCAGTTTTATATATGCCTCGGCATCTGCCTAGG